GCACCCCGTCCTGGCCCCCCTGGCCCCTGAAGTACTCGGCCACCGTCAACCCTGTCAGAGCCACTCTGGCGCGAGCGCCCGGGGGCTCGTTCATCTGCCCGTAGACCAGGGCGACCTGCAGGCAGGACCCCCGCGTTAGCACGGTGCCGCTGGGCCTGCCGGGACCCCACCCGGCCCCCGCGGGAGACCCAGCACACCTTGGAAGTGGCGTCTTTCAGGTTGATGACTCCAGACTCGATCATCTCATGGTACAAGTCATTGCCCTCGCGGGTTCGCTCCCCCACACCAGCGAACACCGAGTAACCACCGTGGGCTTTCGCCACGTTGTTGATCAGCTCCATGATCAGCACCGTCTTGCCAACGCCAGCACCTCCAAACAAACCTGGGAGGGAAGGGGAATCCTGCTCAGCCCCAAGCCGATCCGGCTACTCCCAGTGTCTCCTTCCACCCCTTTCCTCCTCAGATCAATAAACGTTGCTTCAGCAAGCTCAGAAGAACGAAAGTCAAATGGTTACTCATCAGCGAAGGAAACTACTACAGAGGGATTGGCCCTGAGCCGTCGGGGCACAGTGCGAGCCCCCAGGAACTGCTCAGTGGGGCCGGCAGGGTGCCCCTGTCCCCAGACACCCCCCCTGTTCCTCCGGGGCCAACGCACCGATCTTGCCACCCTTGGCATAGGGAGCCAGCAGGTCCACCACCTTGATCCCCGTCACCAGGATCTCCTGCTCAACGCTCATCTCCACGAACTCGGGGGCTTCGGCATGGATAGCAGCAAACCTGCAGCAAGATGCGGAGAGAGGAGCTGAGCAGCCGAACCGAGCCCCTTGACCACGGCGTTGGCGGGAGGCCACGCGAGTGCGGTCCCAGCTCAGGGCCCAGCAGAACCAGTGCAGCAGGGACGCGCCACATCCCTGTTCGCACTCGTATCTGCTATGCCAGAACCTGCACCCCCCTTCCTCCGGACCCCGCACGATGTTCGTCTCCTGGCCAGGGCATCACTCACTGTTTTGTCGTGATGGGACCCCTCTCGTCAATGGGCTCCCCGATGACGTTCATGATCCTGCCCAGGGTCTCGGGGCCGACGGGGATGCGGATGGGTGCGCCAGAGTCCAGCACCTTCTGCCCTCTCACCAGGCCTTCTGTCCCGTCCATGGCGATTGTGCGCACGGTGTTCTCTCCTGCCAAGGCCCAAGGGCAGTGTCACAGCAGCGCCCTCGAGCTGACCCTGGGGACAGCTGCTGGTGGCTTCCCCAGGCCCTGCCAAGGGAACAATCGGCTGGGAGGAGGACCAAGAGCAGCAGCAGGACCCAGGGACAAAATAGCGCAGAGGAAAACTGAGCCCGGGCCACACTCAAACTGCAGCCCTGCAGGCCAGAGCCCCCCGGCAGCCATTTTCCTCCTCCTCAGATCAAAGTCCGTGGCTTCAGCAAGCTCAGGAGAACGAAAGTCATTGAGACACATCATCACGGGAGGACCCCCCCCTGCACTCCGCAGCCCCTCTGCGGCAGATGCTCACCCA